GAGAGAATAAAACAGAGAAGAGTCCAGAGTCTCAGTACTTCTCGTTAAAAGCTAAGCGAGTGGTAAAAACCCCCCAACATGTTTATCGCTCGCAGAAAGTTTGTGATCGAGTATAACCAACGGGAAGTTTATTCAGTGCTATCTTACATGAGGTCAAATGTATCATCCTAGAACAATTTCCTGGTGTGGAAATCTTTAGCGCGGAAAGATAATAGGTCCTTCGCTTGCAGAAAGTTCGTGTTTAAGTACGACGGGAAGTTTACAATTTTGTTAAATTAGGTGGGAGTTATTTTCAGCCATTTTTTAAAGAACCAAATGTGTTTAAAGTTCTCTGTTCCGCATGCGACAAAAAAAAATTTTTTCGCTGGATGCTTTAATTCTTTAAATTTCTGTTCGTTTGCTTTACTTTCTGTCCTGAACACTTTATTTGTTACAAGCGAAAGAAATCAAGACGACCTCACAAGGTTTGTTAATTTTTTTGTTTAGTGTATCTGCACCTTAGGCAAGGATTTATTCAGTTATTATTTAATAAAATAAGGCTCGTGATACACTAATGTGTCGCATAAAGCTGCTTAATTACGCCATAAGCCCGGAAGTGTCTGAGTGGCAACGTAAGGAAAAGTGTTGACCTCCTGTACAGCTCACGGATCTGCTACATCCTGGTTTTCGCAATCCGTGAAATTCTATTTTCATTAAATATAATCTAGCTTCTCTTTTCGCTGAAGGTTAAATGACTGTTGATAAAGTCAATGACATGTGACAGTTCCGAAGAGACAAGCTGAGACTATTTGTCGCAAATCTTGGTAGTTGATAAAAGCACTCTCGGGTAGTTTGCCATGACCTCAGAATTCTTTGCTTTGCGATTTCTTCCTACAACTGATCATTTACCGTGAGCTACACCCCAATCTATTAGCAGGAATGACTCATAATGAGGACCCTTGAAACTGCTCATAACTAAACTCAAACTTTTTCTAGTATTTTACTAGTCAAGATCATCTACAAGTTCTGATTTTTCTTTCGGTGTAAGTGTGAAAGTATAAGGAACTTTTCACAGTGCCTTGACCTGTAGACTCATTTGTTTCATTCAATTTTATTCTCTAATATGTGCAGGATTTTTTTTTTGTTCTGTTTTACCGAACAGATGCGAAGAAAAAATGTATTCATTCATTCTGCGCACATGTCTTCTTCAAAGTCTATAACTACAAAATAAAAACCCTCTCTCTTCCCACAGTAAAGCAAGAACACGAGTAAAATAACCTAAGGATTTATATTTACTGATTGTATCCGTTTAAGAGAATTAGCCCCTGAGTACGGGTCGTCCTGTAGTTAACACTTAAAAAGATACTCTGTGGCACCCATCACTTTAGGGCTTTCCATAAGATGCACCAAATATTTAAAACAGATGCTCAAAATTTCTCAAAAATCCATTCACGTTACATTACATATTATCTACAAGCGTTAATTACCCTATGAAAGACCTTTTTTTCTCATTCAAGCTCAAAATATCTCATATCGACAGGTACTACGTAAAAACAGATGATCTAAACATTCTTCAGCGTTTAACTAAAATTTTATCCAAGATGAAAGAGTATAGCTGCTCGAAGACTGGAGCGCAGTAAGAGAAAGTGACTCTTATCATAACCGGCAATAAAACATTGCATTACAGTAGTTTGACTGCTGTTGATGACTTCCTTGTCTAATGAAGTAATTCTAAAATAATCTTGCTGTTGACGTCTTGGTGGATTCAACATGCCATAAGTGTGTAGAAAACTTCTTTGAATCCCGAATGCTTTATCTAGTTCAACTGATCGCTTCTGAGCTGTAAATGTCAAGTGGATGGCTTCACTAATGCGCCGATCAGTTGAAGCTTCAACATTCTCCAGAGTGTAGGACTATCGTCTGTGCCCGGGGAGTGGGGAATATAAGCCTTTCCTGGGTGGGGTGGGGAAAACCTTTCAGCGGAACAAGCGTATTGTATTTTTTTTAAACGCCTGGTAAAGGTAAAGAGTTCTCTTTACGAGCGGATGGTTAAAAAAAAAAAAAAATTGGTCCACAAGGTCTAGATTTTAAACTCGGATAGTCGAGTTGTTCATCGATGGGTATAGAAAGTGTAGGTCGCTGTTCTTGCCTTTTACAAAAAATATTCATCTATCAAATCCGGCAATTGAGTAGGGCATTTAAACACAGTTTTGAGAGAATTTTAGAGAATTTGAGAAAATTTGAGAGAATTTGAGAGAACTTCTCCAAAGTTCAAATACCAGGGGGCTTATCCGGTAGAAATTTCAACACCTCTAAAAGGCTTTCGTTGTTATTTCTCAGACACCATGGCATGATGGGATTAACCATTCGTACGGATATAAACAATTTATTGACAACTGGATGCTAATGGAAAAATCGATAGCTTGTTTGAGTAAAAATAAGTGGTGCTGCACAAGAGGATTACTAAGGATTACTTCACTACGTTAACCATGCCATTTAATGATCAAGAGTCAAGGAACAATGAGAAAAAAAGGTCTTTCATAGGGTAATTAACGCTTGTAGATAATATGTAATGTAACGTGAATGGATTTTTGAGAAATTTTGAGCATCTGTTTTAAATATTTGGTGCATCTTATGGAAAGCCC